GGCAAAACCTTCAAGACATTGGATTTGGCAGTGATTTCTCAGATATGACACCAAAAGCACAGACAAAACAAGTAGATCAATTGGACTTTATCAAAGTAAAACTTCTGGCCAGGCACTGTGGCTCACACCTGTAATCCCAGCACTTTGGGAGGCCGAGGCGTATGAATCACAGAGTCAGGAGTTCGAGACCAGCCTGGCCAACACGGTGAAACAACACAAAAATTGGCCAGGTATGGTGGTGGGCACCTGTAGTCCCAGCTACTCGGGAGGCTGAGGCAGGCGAATCACTTGACGCTGGGAGGCGGAGGTTGCAGTGAGCCAAGATCACGCCACTGCATTCCAGCCTGGGCAACAGAACGAGACTCCATCTAAAAAAAAAAAAGAAAATTTAAACTTCTGTGCATCAAAGGACACTATCAATGTGAAAAGTCAGTCTACAGAATCAGAGAAAATATTTGCAAATCATGTATCTAATAAGAGATTAATATCCAGAATGTATAAACTCAATAAAAAGTAAACAACCCAATCAAAAAATGGGCAAAGGACTTAAATAGACATTTCTCCAAAGAAGGTATACAATTAAGAAACACAAGATGCTCAACATCACTATTCATTAGGGAAATGGAAGTGGAAACCACAATGAGATACCACTTCATTTTCACTAGAATGGCTATTATCAAAAACAAAACCAGAAAATACATGTTGGCAAGGATGGGAGAAGTTGTAAATTGCTGGTGAGAATATAAGTGTAGCCACTGTAAAACACAGTATGGCAGTTTCTCAAAAATATTAAAAGAATTACTGTATGATCCAGCAATTCCACTTGGGCATATACCCAAAATAATTGAAAGAAGGATTTCAAAGAGATATTTGTACACCATGTTCATGGCAGCATTATTCATAATAGCCAAAGACAGAAACAATCTAAATGCCTATCATGACATGAATGGACAAACAAAATGTATACACACACAATGGAAAACTATTCAACTGTAAAGAGGAAAACTTTGTTGCATGCTACAACCTGGATGAACCTTGAAAAAGTTATGCTAAATGAAGTAAGCCAGACACGAAAGGACAGATACTGTATGATTCCACTTACATGAGATAACTAGAATAGGCAAATTCATAGAAACAGTAGAATGGTGATTTCCTGAGGATGAGGGGTAGAGGAGATGGGTGGGCAGTTAGTGTTTAAGCAATATCACTTGGAGAAGATGAAAAAGTTCTGGAGATGGAGGGTTGCACAACAGGGCAAACGTGTATACCACAGAAGTATACACTTATAACTGGTTAAAATGGTGACTTTTATATATATTGAATCACAATTTTAAAAATACAGTTGACCCTTGAACAATGTGAGGATTAGAGGTGCCAGCCCCCGTGCAGTTGAAAATCTATGTATAACTTTTGGCTTCCCTGAAACTCAACTACAGATAGCCTACTGTTGACCAGAAGCCTTACCGATAACATAAAGTCAGTAACACATATGCTATATGTTATGTGTATTATATATCATATTAAAGTAAGCTGGAGAAAATATATTTACTTTTAATTATATAGAAGTGCATCATCATACAGGCCTTCATCTTCACTGTTCACATTGAGCAGGCTGAGGAAGAAAAGGGGTTGGTTTTGCTGTTTCTGGAGTGGAAGAGGTGGAGGAGGTGGGAGAAGAGGCAGGAAAGGCCAGGCACTTTTGATGTAACTTTACAGAAATACATCGTAATTTCTGCCTGACTTTTTTGCTCTTTTTATTTTTCTAAAAAATGTTTTTATATATTACCAATCCTCTGTCCACCCTTTGCTTTAGTTTTAGTGCCCATATTATAGACGGGTCCATGTCATAAAAGAAATCAAAAGTAGTCTTGAATAATTGCAGCCCTTCTGCCAGACTCTCTAATGTCAGTGCCAGTAGTGTATGTCTGGCACTGCTTCTATGTTGTCTTCCTCATCATCTGGCACTAGTTCAGAACCAATCATTTCCATCAAGTTGTCTGTTAATTTATCTGGTGTGGTGTCTGTTAGCTATTGAATTTCTGAAAGATGCATATCTTGAAACCTTTCACCCCCCAGCCCCCCTGCACCATACCTTTTTTTTGTCATATCCACAGTCTCTTTCATGATTTCCTTGATTGTCTCTGTCACAAATCCTGTGAAGTCATATATATCATCTGGACACAGTTTTCTCCAGGAATGTGTTTAAGACTTGATGGCTTTCACAACTTTTTCTGTAACAACAGTGGCATAATCAGTGGTATAATTCTTCCAGACTTTCATGTTATTCTGTCAGGGTTCTCTTCCACAGCATTGATAGACATTTCCACAGAGTGCAATGTATAATGAGCTGTAAAGGTCCTTATGACCCTAATACAGAGGATGAAATATAGAGACATTGTGGGGGCACATAGACCACCTCAGTGCTTTTGGTGTTGAACTTGTGGTTCTGGGTGGCCAGGAGTATTGTCCAATATCAAAAGAACTTAAAAGGCAGACCCTTATTGGCAAGGTACTTCCTGACTTTGGGAACAAAGCATTGATGGAAGCATTCCAGAAAAAGCATTCTCATTGTCCATACCTTCTTGTACAACCAAAAGACTGGCTGCTGGTGTTTTTTCCCTTTGAGGCTCAGGAATTAGCAGCTTTATGGCTAAGGACAGCAAACTGACGGCATTTGCACAAAACAGTAGAGTTTGCTTATCTCTTCCTGCCTTAAATCCTGGTGCTTTTTTTTCTTCCTTACTAATAAATGTCCTTTGTGGCATTTTCTTCTGGAATAGGGCACATTTATCAGCATTAAAATCCCATCGTGGGCTCAGCGTGGTGGCTCACACCTGTAATCCCAGCACTTTGGGAGGCCAAGGTGGGCGGATCACGAGGTCAGGAGATCAAGACCATCCTGGCTAACATGGTGAAACCCTGTCTCTACCAAAAACACAAAAAATTAGCCAGGCATAGTGGCAGGTGCCTGTAGTCCCAGCTACTCAGGAGGCTAAGGCAGGAGAATGGTGTGAACCAGGGAGGCGGAGCTTGCGGTGAGCTGAGATGGCCTCACTGCACTCCAACCTGGGCAACAGAGCAAGACTCCGTCTGAAAAAAGAAAAAAAAAAATCCAGAAAAACCTATCCTTTCTCCCCAGTGATTTTCTTAGTGGTGTCTGGGAACTCTGCTGCCTCAAAGCTGCTTCTCCTGTTATGTTGACATTTTTAGAACAACACCTCTTTCTGAAACTCAAACCATCCTTTGTTGGCACTAAATTCTTCAGCTTAAGATCCTTCACTTTAAGTTGTCTTATAATGACTACTCTTTCTGAAAAGACACTGTCTATCTGGTATACTACCAACTAGTGTAATAACTGGGACAGTGCCTTGCACATAGTAGGTATTCAATAAAATATTTGTTAAATAATTTACAGGCACCTTTTATGTTTGAAAAAAATTATATTTAAGTTTTTATCTGGAAAATGTATGTGATGAGGGGGACCCAGAAGGACAATTCCTTAACATAATTGATAAATACAAATATACGTTATATATTTCTCAAGTGAATGCAAACGAATTTATCTTGGTTACATGTTAAAACTTGTGCAGGCCAGGACAGGCGCAGTGGCTCACGCCTGTAATCCCAGCACTTTGGGAGGCCAAGGCAGGTGGATCACCTGAGCTCAGGAATTCAAGACCAGCCCGACTAACGTGGTGAAACCCCGTCCGTCTCAAGGAAAAAAAAAAAAAATGTGCAGGCCAGACATGGTGGCTCTTGCCTGTAATTTTAGGACTTTGGGAGACCAAGGCAGGAGGATTGCTTGAGGCCAGGAGTTCAAGACCATCCTAGGCAACATAACAAGACCCTGTCTCTACAATAAAATAAAAATGTAAAGAGCTGTGCATGGTGGTGTGCACTTGCAGTCCCAGCTACTTGAGAGGCTGAGGTGGACAGATCACTTAAGCCCAAGAGGTCAAGGCAGCAGTGAGCTACGATCATGGCACTGTACCCCAACCTGGGCAACAGAGTACTCTGAGATGAGAAATAAAACAAATCCTGTAGCTCTTGATCTTCCTATTCCCTACGTATTTCCGGTCCATTTACCAGGTAAGGAAGTATACTCCTAAAGTTTCCACTTACTCAGATGTAGAAATGAGGTTTGTTTTTTTTTTCCTCTAAAAGGTACAGAAACTGCTCTCTTTAAAAAATAAAAAAATAAAAAAAAAAAATGTTGTGCAGAAACTTGAGACAATAAGGAGCAGTTATATGTGAAATCCAGGTTGCTTAGATAGGAGATTAGCTACATATATTTTTTATTAATGGGAAAAATACTCAGAAAAAAATTCATATGGAATGTGACCCTGTGCTTTGTATAGATAATTAGATATTAGAATGGAAGAACAAATTTTAGGGCTTTGGTTGTGTACATCGCCTTACTATTCTGTAACAGATGTATTCTAACTTCAGCATAGTCATTTTAATGATGAGAGCATGGGGCAAAAAAGATTATCTAGGCTTGAGTGGTGGTACCACTAGAGTGGTGGCAATTTTCTAATAATCTTTTAGAAAGAAGGAATTTCATTTCTACATCTGAGTAAGTGGAAACTAGGAGTGTCTTCCTTACCTGGTAAATGGGCCAGAAATAGGGAATAGGAAGATCAAGAGCTACAGAATTTATTTCTCATCTCAGGGTACCAAATTAACTCATTATCCCAAGGATTCATATTTTAGAATTACTGTATCAAATGATATCCAACTTTAAGGGAACTTCTAATATGGAGATCAATGTTGAAAGAAAATATTTAGATTATTAATAAATTATTTAAGGGAGAATTGGTTTGTTTAGAGCTTTTTTTTCTTAACTAGAATTAAAATATCTTAATTAGATGTTTAATAAAATTAACATTTTATTTAGAATTAAAGTATTTTTCTTTAAAAGTACATTTGCATTTTGCTAGCTTAAGTTTATTGAAACTGAGCTCTTGTATGTCATTTCATGTTTTTCTCTTGGTATGAAGTCTTACCTATTTGATGAAGATGTCTTTTGAAAGGTGTACTGCAAGGAACAAAATGTTTGTAAATTCTGCTTTTACCAAGGTAAAGATCAAATTTTATAAATTTACTTTTTTGTTTATACAAGGAAGAATAACTTCATATATTGAATATATTCAAAAGTTTAAACATTTAATTGTATTGCCCTGTTAAGCTGTCATGGCAGATAAATACTTTTCTTTTCCTCATTTTATTCTTTGTGTTTCCTAATCTATAGCACTGTGCTGGGCACAGAATGGACTTCAGTTAAGTTTTTGGTGTAGAAATGTTTTATTATTCTACTTAAAATCTCCTTTAAAATAATTAATGTGTATTACATCAATGTTGTAATGTTTAAACATAGATTTTTTTACATGCATTCTTTTTTTTCTGAAAGAAAATATTTTTTATATTCTTTAGGCATGAATGTGTGTTTAAAAAAAACAAAACCTTGGAGTAAAGTAGCAGCACATAATGGTTTGTGGATTTTGAAAAGGTGCAGGCCATATTGTGCTGCCTCAAAAATACAAGGATCTGATCTTCTGAAGAAAATATGTTTCTTTTTATTCATAGCTCTTATGATAACAATGTCAGCAGTGCCTTAGCAGCACGTAAATATTGGCGTTAAGATTCTAAAATTATCTCCAGTATTAACTGTGCTGCTGAAGTAAGGTTGACCATACTCTACAGTTGCATTTTAATGTATATTAATATTACTGTGTTTTCAGTTTTATTGATAGTGTCTTTTCAGTATTATTGATAATCCTGTTATTTTTAGTATGATTCCATGAAAATAATACTAATTTTTCAGATGTATTGTCTCTTAAAATAGTATAATTGCAATTTTATAAGTGTATTGAATGCCATCAAGAGTTTTTTAAAAGAGCTTATGCAGCATTAGAGAAATTTATTTTAATGCACATTTATATTCAACATAGACATTAATTCAGATTTTTTTACTTGGGATAAAACAAATTCTAGTTTTCCCTTTGTTTTGAAATTACTTTTAAAATATGTCTTTATAAATAAATATAAAATATATTAAGCATTTTGAACAGAGCTTAGAAGACAATATTTAGTACTGTTTCTGAATATTTCTTTATATCTGAAGGGGAAAAGCCATCAAAATATGTGAATTAAATACCTGAAATTCTGGTTCTCAAAATGCCACACTTAACCATAACTTTAAAGGTAGGAAAACCTAACAAGTGACCAACCCACTCATTGGATAGCTGAGGAAACACAAAACTCAAATAATTTGCTACACATGGCAGATTCGGGTGTTAGTCCTATGTCTTCTAACTTTATAACAGTATACTGGTTTTTTTCATGTTTTTATTAAAATGTTTCTTAAGTCCTTAGCCAAAGATTTTTGTTTGACAAGTCAAAAATACGGTCTTGTTTACTTTACTTTTTTATATTCAAGATTTAACTCAGAGTAAGACCAAATTATGATTGTAGTTAATTTTATAGATATAAATATGTAAATAATTTTTTTAATTGTTTATGTTTTTAAAAATTTCTATTAAAAGTAAAAGTAGATGGCTGGGCTTGGTAGCTCACGCCTGTAATCCCAGCACTTTGGGAGGCCGAGGCAGGCGGATCAGGAGGTCAGGAGATCGAGATTATCATGGCTAACACAGTGAAACCCTGTCTCTACTAAAAATAGAAAAAAATTAGCCGGGCGTGGTGGCGGGCGCCTATAGTCCCAGCTACTTGGGAGGCTGAAGCAGGAGAATGGCGTGAACCCAGGAGGCGGAGCTTGCAGTGAACCGAGATCACACCACTGCACTCCAGCCTAGGTGAGAGAGGGAGACGCCCTCTCAACAACAAAAAAAAGAAAAGAAAAGCAGAGCTGGGCACAGTGGCTCATGCCTGTAATTCCAGCACTTTGGGAGTCCAAAGCGGGTGGATGATCTGGGGTCAGGAGTTTGAGACCAACCTGACCAACATGGTGAAACCCCGTCTCTACTAAAATTACAAAAAATTAGCCAGGCATGGTGGCACATGCCTATAGTCCTAGCTACTCGGGAGACTGAGGCAGGAGAATTGCTTGAACCCGGGAGGCGGAAGTTGCAATGAGCGGAGATCATGCCATTACAATCCAGCCTGGACAACAAGAGTGAAACTCGGTCTCAAAAAAATAAATAAATAATTTAAAATAAATAAATAAAAATTTAAGAATTAAAAATAAATAAATAAAAATAGAGACAGGGTCTCACTATGCTGCCCAGACTGGTTTCAAACTCCTGGGCTCAAGCAATCTTGCTTTAAAGCTGTCCACTGTGCTGGGATTACAGGCATGAGCCACCACCCCTGGCCTAATTTAATTAAAATCTGAACAAAAGGCAGGGTATGGTGGCTCATGCCTGTAATCTCAGGCCAAGGCACGTGGATCGTGTGAGGTCAGGAGTTCGAGACCATCCTAGGCAATGTGGTAAAACTCTGTCTCTACTAAAAGTAAAAAATTAGCCAGGTGTGATGGCGGGCACCTGTAATCCCAGCTACTTGGAAGGCTGAGGCAGGAGAATCATTTGAACCCAGGAGTCGGAGGTTGCAGTGAGTGGAGATCGCACCACTGCACTCCAGCTTAGGCAACAGAGCGAGACTCCGTCTCAACAGCAATAACAACAAAAATCTGAACAAAAATGCTCATTTATATTCTTCTCCTTATCTGTGGTGGTTTAAAGTCATTAAACTTATGATTAAAAGTCATTAAATGATGTTTAGGAGAAGATGAGTATATTTGTGTAGTGTATTATAACTCTGATGTTATTTTGTACAAGGAGTGTCTTAGAGTTTTCAGTTGTAACCATGCAGAAAATCTACAAAATAAAAGCAGTTGTTAATTAGTCCTTTACAATCAGAATTGTCTATTTTGGAAATTTATGAAGTACTTCAGATTTAATTTAAGAAATTGTATTTGAGCCAGGTACGGTGGCTCACACCTGTTATCCCAGCATTTTAGGAGGCTGAGGCAGGTGGATCACGAGGTCAAGAGTTCGAGACCAGCCTGACCAACATGGCAAAACCCCATCTCAACTAAAAATACAAAAATTAGCTGGGTGTGGTGTGGTGTGCACCTATAATCCCAGCTACTCAGGAGGCTGAGTCAGGAGAATCACCTTAACCCAGGAGGCGGAGGTTGCAGTGAGCCGAGATCACACCACTGTACTCACTGCACGCCAGCCTGGGTGACAGAGTGAGACTCTGTCTCAACAACAGCAAAAAAAGAAATTGTATTCGAAAGGTAAAGAACCTTTTTGTTTACATTCTAATTTGAAGATAAAATATTATATAAAAACTCTCAGTTTTTATCCAGCAACATTTTGTTCCCAATATACGATACATAGTGGATAGACTAAATGCCAGCATTTACATGGAAACACTGTCTTGGTGCTTTTAAAAATCATTTATCAAGCTCTTAACTTGTTTTCTTTATTTCCTTTCAACCATTGCATGAAAGACTTCACCAAATATATAATTTTTGATTCCACTAAAAATATTCCAGGACCTAACACAAATGCTTAGAATATTTATTGAATGAGACCAGGCGCAGTGGCTCACGCCTGTAATCTCCCAGCACTCTGGGAGGCCCAGGCGGGCAGATCACGAGGTCAGGAGATCGAGACCATCCTGGCTAACACAGTGAAAACCTTGTCTTTACTAAAAAATACAAAAAATTAGCCAGGCATGGTGGTGGGCGCCTGTAGTCCCAGCTAGTCGGGAGGCTGAGGCAGTAGAATGGCGTGAACCTGGGAGGCGGAGCTTGCAGTGAGCCAAGATCGCACCACTGCACTCCAGCCTGGGCGATAAAGGAAGAGTCCGTCTCAAAAAAAAAAAAAAAAAAAAAGAATATTTATTGAATGAATTACAAAGTTTACCCAATACTGCCTAATATTTTTCAGAACAACTCAGGAGTTAGGTATTGTTTGTTTCTTTTTCTTTGTATTCCTAAATGTATCTGAAGTCAGGTTTTAGAAAATTATATTCAATCTGTCTTCTAAATGACAAGAAAACATTTGCATTTTACATTTTCAGATGACTCTTTACATCTTTAAGTGCTCTTAAGCATGAAGAAGGATCATTTGGAGCTTTTATAGCTAAATGAAAACTTTTCTTGTTTTTAATCCTGACGGTAGATTTAAGGAAAATTGAAATATTTGAGAAGTAAGAAAATACAGGAAAAATGCTTCATTAAAACTTATTGAAGTAGTATATACATTCCAGTCTCTTCTTAGAGAAGAAGAGGTGGCCTGTCGATACCTAATGAAAAATAACATTTAGGAAACTCTCAACAGTACTAGATGTTTTATTTGTAGAGTTGTAATTTTGAAACACATAAGGAGCCAACAGTAAAATGAAAGTTTATACCTTTCAGTGTTAATCTTATTTTGGCTTTTTGTTTTGCAAAACAAACTGCACATAGTTATATGGGGGTATATATTAAGTTTTCATTTTTTCTTATTCGGAAAAAAATACTAATATTTTTCATTTAAGTTTCTTTTTTAATTGATACCAAAGAGTTCCAGTATTGAACATCTTAAGTCTGTTATTTGGAGTATGGATTGATTTTGGAGCTTACTCAGAGGACTACAGGAGAGTATCCAGGAGGTAGCAAGAAATGTATTTCAGTTACTCTGTTTGCATTTTGTATTCAAGTATAAATCTCTCAAGATCACACAGATTAATATGTGATAGTAGATTTGAAAACTTAGCCTAGCTGTAGACTAAGTTCCATATTTAACATTAAAGATTTTCTTCAGTTAGTTATGGATCTTTTTGGTAAATTCAGAGTTACAGGTGTTTTTAAGCCGCTAAGTGTCATTACTGGTACATGCATCAGTTAGCCCTACTTGGATTAGCAAGATTATACTTTCATAAATTATTCTTTCTCTAAATATATTTATATATTTAGAAGTTGACATTCTAAATCAAATTGTATTTTTTTCCTTTTGCAGGTGGATAATTACTGTACCTTCCTCATGAAAAAAGTTTTATTTAAAGTGTTATTTCTCATTGAATACTATCAAAAAGGAAAAAAAAATGACCTAAACTTTTGAGATAGATTTGGCTCTAGTAAGTATTCAGATATATCACTTGCATATCTGGGAGAAGAAATAAGAGACTATCATCAATACATTCCCATCTACTAAAAAATTTTATTTTACACATGTCAAGGGATTACTTCCATTTTATTACTAACAGCTTGAACCCTTTTAATGAAGACCTAACTCCTCCACCAGAAATTTAAGTTTATGTTCTTTCTTTGTTTACTTATAAAATACATCTCAGGTATTTTGGATGTCTTTTTTTTTAAAAGCCTATATGCAATGAAAACTATATTGGCAAAATGTTTAAACCTTTTACGTTAAAATTACTGTGAAAGATGACAAGTTAGCTGCTGTTTTTGTCTACATTATACTGAAATTAAATGTTTATAATTTATATTTGGGGTTTATTTATTTATAAATCATAGAATTTATGCAAAAACATGAGTAGTACAGATTCTCCTCCAATTCTGTAGGACTTTAAATAATGTGATATTTTTCTTATAATTGGACCTTTGTGTTTTGAAGAAATGCCAACTGCTTGAAGAATCTCCTTGTTATTTGTATTATTTGCTATAGGGTTAGATGTTGAGAAATTCTGACAAAAAATTTTAAGCCAGTTTTACACTAAATATTCCTCAGTCTGATTTTTTATTGGATATATTCTGTATCTTTTGTAATTTGTAACTTTTATCCACTTAGCACGAATGATTCTATTAAAGAAAATCTTTAGCAAGTGGTAGAAACATCAAATCGCCCCATAGTTTGCCTGTTTCCACATTTTATTATCTTATAATCTTCGGGCATGCTTACACTTACGGAGCTAACATTTTCAGAGATACAGGTTCTCATAGTACCACGAAAACTTTTTTCCTCTTTGGACTGAATACCTGTGATTACAACTATATGGTAGTTTAAGTTTCCTTGTGATTAGTCAAAAATACCATTTTAGTATGAAGCAATGAAGTCTATTATTTGTTGTCCCATAATTGAGAAAGTTTAAATGTACCTTGTATTAAGAGTTTGTAAATTTTAGCTTAGTCTACACAGATTTTTATGTCAATTTGTTTATATTTTTATTAATGTCATTTCTGGAAGTGTGAAAATGTTAATGTTCGACAAGCAACATTAAAAATAGATTTGAAACATTTATATGTAGAGAGGTACACATTTATTTACTGTTTAGGTACTGAAGATTGTCACTGAATAAAAAAGATATATCCCAGCCCCCATGGAGCTTGCTAATCTTGTGGGTAGAGGAGTGAGTGATGGAATGAATGGACAGAAAATCTGGTAGGTACTATATTTGGTATGGCAGAGAGTGACCAAAGTTCTGTGGAGAAAATAAGGCAGGGAAAGTGGGAATGATGTGATAAAAGTGTTTGTAAGGCAGAAGAGAGATATTTTTAAATAGTATGGTCAGGAAATACCCTACAGAGATGTCATTTGAACAAAGACCTAGAAATAATAAGGGAACAAACCCATGTAGGTACCTGGGAGAAGACCCTTCTGAGCAGAGGAAATAACAAATACAGAGACCCTGAGGCTGAAGTATTTTGTGTGTGTACATGGAACAGCAAAGAGGCGCATGTGGCTGTGATCAAATGTAAACAGGAAGAATAGTAGCTAATAGGATCAGAGAGTTGATAGGGGCCATATCTTGTAACTGTTTAAGCTTTTAGCTTGAGCTACAGATTCAGTTTTTCATACTTTGAGTAAGAGTCTCACTCTGTTGCCCAGGCTAGAGTGCAGTGGTGCAATCTCAGCTCACTGCAACCTCCGCCTCCTGGGTCCAAGCAATTCTCCTGCATCAGCCCCCCGAGTAGCTGGGATTACAGGCACCCAACACCATTCCCGGCTAATTTTTTTGTATTTTTAGTAGAGACGGGATTTCACCATATTGGCCAGGTTGGTCTCTAAAACTCCTGACCTCGTGATTCGCCCACCTCGGCCTCCCAAAGTGCTGGAATTACATGCATGAGCCACCATGCCCGGCCCAGTTTTTCATACTTCTTTAAGACAATCTTGACAGGTGTATGTGCCTTATCCTATTTGACGTCTGCAGATAGAACAGAATATTTTTATGACTCTGATTTGAGACACCCCCACCATCAGACCACTTAGAATACAAACAGAAGGCCAGGCGCGGTGGCTCAAGCCTGTAATCCCAGCACTTTGGGAGGCCGAGACAGGTGGATCACGAGGTCAGGAGATCAAGACCATCCTGGCTAACATGGTGAAACCCCGTCTCTACTAAAAAAAAAAAAAAATACAAAAAACTAGCTGGGCGAGGTGGCAGGCGCCTGTAGTCCCAGCTACTCGGGAGGCTGAGGCAAAAGAATGACCTGAACCCGGGAGGCAGAGCTTGCAGTGAGCTGAGGTCTGGCCACTGCACTCCAGCCTGGGCAACACAGCAAGACTCCGTCACAAAAAAAAAAAAAAAAACACAAACAGAATGTTTAAATGGGTGGTTAATAGGTATATGTGTGATGATCAGGACTGCAAATTTTGCATTGATTGCTTTGAAATTGTTTTCTGCGTGATCAATTTAGGTGGATCCAAAACTAATGACCCCAAGAAACACACTGAATTTGCTCATGTTTGTCATATACCCAAATGAACCACAGTGTCTTTGATTCCTTCATCCTTGAAATTTCTACTATAATTAAGTACTTCGTTGTTTTTCACTTATTTCTATTTAGCAGCATTTTAACTAGTTCTTTTCCTCTAACTGTTTTGGTGGTGGTGGTTATTTGTTTTTTGTTTTTGTTTTTTTGAGATGGAGTCTTGCTCGGTTGCTCAAGCTGCAGTGCAGTGGCACTATCTCAGCTCACCGCAACCTCCACTTCCCGGGTTCAAGCAATTCTCCTGCCTCAGCCTCCTGCAGATCTGGGATTACAGGCATCTGCCACCACGCCCAGCTAATTTTTGTATTTTTAGTAGAGACAGGGTTTCACTATGTTAGCCAGGCTGGTCTCAAACTCCTGACCTCGTAATCCACCCACTTCAGCCTCCCAAAGTGCTGGGATTACAGGCGTGAGCCACCACGCCTGGTCACCTCTAGCTGTTTTAAACTAACAATTTCATCTTCTATATAGTATATACTACTATTATAATCTTCCTAATTTTTTTTCCCTATAGTATAAAATTTAAATTTCTAACTTTGATATGTTGTGGTCTTGTCCCAACATTTTCTATGTTGTTTAATTTTTCTTCAAATTAACTAGTTCTAATCCATTTTTCTTTCTCTTTGCCTTTATTTATGCCATTTAATTACTCCAGTTCTCCCCCAACTAATGCCTGTACATTTTTTTTTTTTTTTTTTGATAAGGCAGAATTTCTCATGTGCACTGTTTCTTGACCTTAACAGTCTAACATTAACCATCCTTCCCATGGTATGACCTGAGGTATATAACACTTCTATCATTGTTTCTCATTTATTCATGTAGGTTAACCTTTTAAATGTATTAGCAATATGGAAAAAAAAAAGTTAAATTTAAGAAACTTCAGAACAGTAGCCTAAACATCAGGTCCTGAGGTTCAGATATTAATTTTATACTGACAAGTTATATAGTTGACTTTTTAAATTCTTCAAATGGTTATGTATGAACCAGTTATGTTATATCCTTAAGATTTATGAACATTAAAAGAATAATTATCTCAGTTTTCCAATACTGTAAAAGCAGTTAACAGATCCACTTTTTAAAGAAGTAATCCATGTGTGTGTTATAGTATTGTTTATAAAGCATTCAGTAATAAAAGGCTGATTAAATAACATTCAGTAGGATACTGTGCAGTTATTTAAAATATCAAGTGAATATTTAATGAGCTAAAAAGTTGTTCATTATTGAATAAGTAAAAGATCATCAAATAGTTGAATAGAGTCACCAGAATAATTCATATGCTAAACTGTTTTGCTGGTTTACTCTGGGTGAGAGATAAATCTTATTGGGGCAAGAGGGATCTTCTTGATTATAAATAAGCATGTATGATTTTTGTGATGGGCAAAGTGTTTTTTGAAAAGGAGAGAGAGAAATCCTTGAAAAATAAAAGTGATTATTTGAAGCAACCTTACCTCCACATACTTACTTTGGAAATCTATAAAAGGGAGTCCTACTGTGTTCAGGAACTTTAGACATGATAATGAATTAACTGTCATGGAAGAAAACTTTCAAAATCAGATGAGTTTAAAATCAGTTTCAGAGGAACAGCTTGCTCTTAAGTTCTCAAAGCAATATTGAAAAGGAATTCAAGAATTACTTCTTGAGTTTGTGGTTGAGAGATTTCACTGTCCTTTCCCCACTCTTCAAGCCCCCCCAGACCTCGAGAAAAGGTAAGTGTAAGAAAAGGGGTATTTAAATCTCTTTTAATTTGAAACTGTATTAGTAAACAAACTAGAGAAATACAAATCTGGTTTATTTTATACTGATAAAGATTTGATAATGCAATGAAACTTTCATATCTAAAAATTTAGCATTTTTCTGTTAAGTTTAATTTTTCTTATAAATTAAAGTACTATATAAACATAGAAATCTCAGGAAGAGCAAAAAAAATTTTATTTAAAAATCATTTTTATCATCCAAAGTCAGTTGTTATTAGCCTTATATATACCCTTCTAGTTGCATATTTCGATTAGTGAATTTATTTCTTAATCCAATTCATTACTGTGCCAGGGACTAGAAAGATTATATTTACCTCTGGAGAAGAGGTTTAGTGCTGTGCTTCTGGCTCAGAAATATTTTCCTTAAATTTGAATTTTATCTAAAAATTACCAACGTTATATCTATTCCATAGTATTGTAATGTAAAAATGCCTAAGATTAGAATTTTTCCTCAAGATCGAGGATACAGGAAGATGCATCTTGTTTACTCTGGCTTCCTCCTCTACCATAGCCACATGTCATCCCCAAGGATACCTTTTCATAGTGGAAAAAAAAAATTTGAGGCAAGGGAGGTCATGAAGTATTCTGAGCAGGAGGGTAAGAAAAATAACTTCTGAAATACGTGTACTGGTCAGAATTTGCTTAAGGAGAGAAATCTGGCCATGGTGGCTCACGCCTATAATCCCAGCACTTTAGGAGGCTGAGGCCAGCAG